CTGAAGTCTGGATTTACAAGATACTTCTGAAAGAAAAAAAGTTTATGTACATTTACTATCAACGAGGTGCCAGTTTCCAGGTGTAAATATGTAAATACTTTACTTTAAAATGCTTTCAGATGTCACTAAAGAAGCATTGAAGTCTGGTTTGTCAGATATGGATTACCTACGGTCGAAGGTGGCACAGACAGACGACACCATGGAGGAGAGTGTAGAGAACGATGAAGAGGAGGAGGAGGAAGATGAAGGAGGAGATGATGAAGACGAGGATCCCGGTTCTGTGCAGCATGCAGACAGTGCCTATGAGAGTGGTGAAAGAGAAAACAGCTCCAAGACCCAACTTTCAGCTTCTTCTGAGGATAAGAAGCAGAAAAAAACCAAGAAAACTGCCACACAGGAGGTTAGTGATGAAAAAACATCCATCATTACACATCAGAGATCAGGACAGCACGGTGTTTGCTTTCAGTTTGTATTTGTTAACTCACTCATCTGTTTGTTCCAGATGGAGCCAACAACAGAGTTCACAGTGAAGCTGAGAGGAGCTCCGTTCAACGTTAAAGAGGTGACTTTACTTAAGTTTTAGGATTTCACAGGTACAGAGAAGATGCTCTGCTTTAAAACAATCAGTACATGTCAGAGTCTGTGTACAAGAAACTAAAATATTCCTTTTAATGTGTACCATCAATAGCAACAAATACGAGAGTTCATGACCCCGCTGAAGCCTGCAGCCATCAGGATCGGGAAGAACGAAAGCGGGAATAGAACAGGTAAGTTACTGAAAACATATGAATATGTTAGATGATGTCAGTACTGTCTTTGTAGACTGTATACAGACCCATGTATAAACACAGATATCCTATGTGTGTGTTTCAGGTTATGTGTATGTGGACTTGCATTCTGAAGAAGAGGTGGTAAAGGCCTTGAAGAAGAATAAAGACTATATTGGTAAAAAATACATCTTTGTCTTATTTCTGTACATAATTTTTTGGTGCATGTCATTGAAGACATGACAGGAGATGGTGGTTAAAATATCTTCCACTGCTGGCTGTTAAGACTTTGTATACACAATAATGAATACTCATTTGTCCCAGATTTGCAAATTGACAAACATCAAGAAGCATGTTGTTGATTATGAAAATGTCTGAGACCGTTGTGATGACATTTTAACTGTATTACATCTTCCTTGTCTTTAAATGTAACACATTGTGTCTGTGATTTCAGGGGGGCGTTACATCGAGGTGTTCTGCACTGATGGTAATCAGGGTAAAGGCAGGAGGGACAGAAAGGACAAAGAAATTGACAGAAACTTCACCAGGACGCTCAAGGAGGATGAGGAGGAGGAAGATATTGCAGAGTCCGGTCGGCTTTTTGTCAGAAACCTGCCTTACACCTGCACAGAGGAAGAGATCAATGAGCTGTTTGCTAAACATGGTGAGAAAAAACACGCGCACACACAAACCTGTTCCTGCAAAAATAAGTTCACTCCTTTCTGAGTATATTCTAATTTTGCCATGTTTACAGGTCCAATATCGGAAGTGCTCTTCCCTATCGACAATCTGACAAAGAAACCTAAAGGATTCGCTTTCATCACCTACATGATACCAGAGAATGCAGTGACCGCTCTTGCTCAATTGGACGGACATGTATTTCAGGTATTTGATCTCAAACTGATTTTTTTTTATATCACCCTAGAAGAAGTGTTCCTCTACATATAGTAGTGCAGCTTGAGTTCCAAGTTAAAAAGATTAGCGACATCACTGTCCCTCACACTTTTAGGGCAGGATGCTTCACCTGCTTCCCTCCACCGTGAAGAAGGAAAAGGCTGAATCCTCAGATGCTGGTGGTCCTGGCTCTTCAACTTACAAACGACAAAAAGATGCTAAGAATAAAGCTTCAAGTTCCAGGTAAACGTCCCAGGTCCCATTAATCCTCTGCTTCTCTTCTGCTTCTTTGCAGGTTTTCTTTAAAGTTTCTCATGACTTTTCTGCTTCTTTCCAGTTCACACAATTGGAACACCCTGTTCGTTGGCACAAGTGCAGTGGCAGATGCCATTGCTGAAAAATACAACACCACAAAAAGCCAAGTTCTGGACCATGTGTGTGACACTGCATTCAATTTTTACATATATATATATATTAATGGCAACAGCAGCATGTGCATTACAAAGCAGACTACACATTGAGCATCCATCTTTTTTGGCTATTGCCCTCCCCTTCAGGAGTCCAAGGGAAGTGTTGCAGTGAGGATGGCTCTGGGAGAAACTCAAATCGTCCAGGAGACTAGACAGTTTCTACTCGACAACAGTGTCAGTCTGGATTGCTTCAGTCAGGTACTTTACATGACTTTACTGCTTTATGGAGCCTTTACCCTCGTAACAACGATTCATATTGTTGTGTGTTTGTGCCCCCCCCCTGGTGTGCAGGCAGCAGCAGAGAGGAGTAAAACTGTGATCCTGGTGAAAAACCTTCCAGCTGGAGTGACTGTATCAGAGCTGGAGGAACTCTTCTCCCCTCATGGCTCTTTGGGTCGAGTGCTGCTGCCACCGTCAGGCCTCACCGGCATCATCGAGTTCCTGGAGCCGACTGAAGCAAAACGAGCCTTCACAAAGCTGGCCTACAGCAAGGTGTGTGTGTGCGCTGTGTTTCTCCTGCATCAGCGGTTCACGCAGTGTTTGTTGACTAGAGACACTGAAGACTTTTATTTCCTGCTTATTGTAGTTTCATCATGTCCCGCTGTATTTGGAGTGGGCACCTGTCGGCGTGTTTGTGGCGGCCAAACTAGAACCAGGTAGAATCTCTCCAACACACAGGCTCTTCACACTCTTCTCAAATTGGATCTTTTTTAAACGTGCAGGAGATAAAATAAAATTGATAGCTAAAATATGTATTGTATCTGTCTAACAAAGTACCAGAGAAAGAAAAGGCAGTGGAAGAAGAGAAGAAGGAGGAGGAAGAGGAAGAAGAAGAAGAGGAGGAGGAAGAGGAGGAATCTGCTCCTGGTTCCACACTTTTCATTAAGAATCTTAATTTCAGCACAACAGAGGAGAAGCTACAGGAGGTGGGTCATAGTTAACATAGTTCATTTATATGTAATATTGTCATTCATAAACACAACTCTGTTATTTATGTTTTATTCATCTGTTGTAGACATTCTCCAAATGTGGGAAGGTAACATCCTGCACCATCTCCCAGAAGAAAGATAAATCAGGTATTTCAAAATACATAGAATCATGGATTTATTGTATAGTTTTATTTATGAGAAAAACATTCAACGGTGCTGATGTCATATTTTTCTGCATCATCATCATCATCCAAAGTCTGATTGTAGTCTCACAGTGACGATGATTAAATGCCACACATCATTAATCTTAACATGTGATTCTGTGAGAATGGAATATCTATCTCTGTGTGAACGTTCTCATGCTTAGGGAGAGCAGCAGGTGAGTTAACCGCCCTGTGGTTTTGTTCTGACCCTCAGGAAAGCTGTTGTCCATGGGCTATGGCTTTGTCCAGTATCAGACAGCAGAGGCAGCACAGAAGGCCCTGAGGCAGCTGCAGGTACCAGCTCCATTTCCACATTTAAACTCTTATCGTCCTTTTTCTTCCTGGTTTTCAACTAATGTACATTCTCTTATTCTCTACCATCCTCCAGCACTGTACCGTGGATGATCACAAGTTAGAGCTGAAGATTTCTGAGAGAGCCACAAAGTAAGATTTAGTAAACATTGTTGAAAAAAATTTAAAGTAGTGCATAATATAGAAGTAAAAGCTTTTCATTACTTTAACATGTTGATTGTGATGGTTTGTGGGTCATGAAACTTCTGTTGTCGTTACCCATTCAATCTTTTTCCCTGTGTGCAGGATCACCGAGGTGTCCAGAAAGAAGAAGCAGCTCGAGAAGAAGCAGACCGGATCCAAGATCCTTGTGCGCAATGTTCCCTTCCAGGCCAGTGTCAGGGAAATTCGAGAACTCTTCTGGTAGGGGTCACACACAAACAACTGCTTTTTTATTCGGTGAGAGAAAGGTTGAGAGTGAGATAATTCATTAACGCTGTGATTTCTTGCCTCTGTTTTCTCAGTACATTCGGAGAGCTGAAGACAGTCCGCCTACCGAAAAAAGCAGCTGGTACAGGGAAACATAGAGGCTTTGGCTTTGTTGATTTCCTCACCAAACAGGATGCAAAGGTTTGTATGTGATTTTGAATTAGGTAAAAGTCTAAAAGCTGCATATTTAGGGAATACAGAGCCCTCTATTGCTACAGTAATGTAAATTATACAGTATTGAGCTATGATCTTGAATTAGATGTGTCTGTTTTTTCCATAGAAAGCATTTGCTGCACTTTGCCACAGCACCCATCTGTACGGGAGGCGCCTCGTGCTAGAGTGGGCTGATGCTGAGGAAACTGTGGAAACACTGAGGCGGAAAACAGCTGAGCATTTTCATGGTAAATCTAAATACAAATACTATCCATGAAAGGATGTAATTGCTATATAGTCCTTTTTTTCATACGACTCATTTGTTCTTGATTTCAGTGGCCTCCAAAAAGCAGCGAAAGACAGAAGTATTGGAGGGAATTATGGAAAAGATGGAAACTGGGGGGGCAGGGGAAGACTGAGGTCCCTGAACGTCTCTGTGGCTGTGAAACCCTCAACACCATCCTGACCAGAGCTCCTTTGTTTTCTGTGAATAGGACGCTAAAGATAATATGGACCTCATCGGAACATGCAGAAGACACTGGTGATACATTCATCAGCTCATCAAAGTTTTGTGATAAAGTTTGAAATCTCGGTATTTCTGAAATTACAAACGTTTTTTGTATAGAATGAACATGATGGGAGTGATGTCAGTTTTTATATAAAATTTTATTCGATGATTTAAAAGCTGTTTGTGTTACTTTGTGTCTCATGTTGTGTTGGGGTGGTGACATAAATAACTATTTTTAAAAAAACACAGGAAGAAGTCTTTTATTCTGAAAGTACGTGGTTGAGTAGAGTCAGGTGACCAGTCCCTCGCGGCGTCATGTGACTTGTCCATGTGAACCTGATGAAAACATGGCGTCGAGGATAAACAAGATGTGTCCTGTGTGGAGTTTCAGCTCAGTGTCTGTGGTCGTGTACGTGTTGAGTTCACTGTGTGTCCGAGCGGAGATAAAGTCCGCGGTGATCGACGCGCAGAGCGGGGATCTGTGTGTGCGGGACGGGTTTCACCAGGACTTCGTGGCCTGGGCCAACTTCACCGATGACATCCAAACATCAGGGTGAGAAGAAATGTGTCAGTGTGCAGAGGTGGTGTCTTGTTTTAGATTGAACCTTTAGAACCTTTAGAACCTTCTCCTTCCTTCTCTGTGCCTCTGGGACAAGATGTCAGCCAACCTCACAAACCTATTGAGTAATTTATCTGTGATGCTGCAACTAACGATCATTTTTATAACGAGTCAGGATATCGATTGTTTTTCCTTTGATGGCTTTATTTATAATTTACTGTAAGAAAGTAAAATGTCTGACGCACTGATGGCAAGACCCGACCGATATTGTGAAGAGCCAAACTGTGATACAGATATAATGGACGAAAAATACACATTGTAAACAAATGTTTCCTAAGATTTTTATAATTAAATCTAACACAAATACCACCAAATATATAGAATTGAAAATAAAAAAAATCTCAATTGTTAATTCTGTAAAATAAAAGTTTTCATGCAGGCCCCGAAACTGATGTCTGTAAAAGGCACCAATAAATGTATATGTAAAAAATGATTGAGGCTTAATATTTTACAATTTAATCCCATACTTTATTTAATATATGTATGTATACAGAGGGCAAATACAACAAATATGTAGAGTTTTTATGAATGTTTTTCTACATTGTTTATTCTGTAAAAATATGTTGTATTAATTCCCTCAAACACAAGCCACAGATACTGTCTCATATCAGCCGTTTCTTTTTTTGTTTTTAGTTTTAGTTAATAAATTGTTGGGCCTCACATTCAAACCTGCACATAGATAATATATTTTCCAATGTGCTCTCTTCAGCTGGTCTTTCTTGGAGGTCACTACCAGTAGTAAGTACAATGACAGTATCCAGGCTTATGCTGCTGGAGCAGTGGAGGCTGCCGTCACATCTCAGGTTGGTTTCAACCCTCCTTCTCCTGCTGTCATTGTGCTTTGATTTAGATGTAGTCCAAAGGTTTCGTTTACTCACTTTGTTTCGCATTACTATCCATGTTATTACAGCTCATCTACAAGCACTGGATGAACACACTGATGGGTTACTGTGGGCCCTTTTCAAGCCAGACCGGTTACTGTGAGCGCCTCAAGGCTTTCATCACAACCAATCTGCAGTGGGTTCAAGACCAAATAGAGACGCATCCAAATTCACCATACTGGTACCAGGTACTGAGCATTTGTAGGATGGATGAAATCTCCTAAGGCCGGTGACAGTATGCTTCACTGTGTGTTTGTTTTTCTTCTCAGGTGCGTCTGGCCCTGCTGCAGCTGAAAGGTCTGGAGGATAGCTACAACGACGAGCTGTCACTTCCACTGGGGCCGTTCTCCTTCAATCCATTTGGTTTCCTGTTAGTGCTTATCTCCACTTTGAATTAACCAAACATGTTTCTCTCTGTTTCTGAGATCTACTTTTTTTTATTTGATCTTGTCTCACACATTTTCACTGATTCTCTGTCTGAACAGTCTCTTCCAGCTGGGTGGGGATCTTGAGGATTTGGAATCAGCTCTGAACAAATCAAGCCAAATGCGACCTCTTGGATCGGGTTCCTGCTCTGCTCTCATTAAGCTGTTGCCAAACAATAAGGAACTGCTGGTGTCACATGACACCTGGAACACCTATCAGTCCATGCTCCGAATTATGAAGAAATATATGTTTGCCTTCAAAGTCTCTCCTTTAGGTATTTTACTGATTTGAGAGTGTCTCTTGTTTTAGTCTCCTTTTATTAGATTATAGGAATAGTTCAACATTTTAGCCAAAATGCTTATATGCATTCTTTTGTTTGGTGAGAATATCAATGACACCCATGTGACTGCACAGTCAAAATGTGGCTACAGTTGCTTAGCTTAGTAAGCATAAAAACAGGAAGAAACCTCTAGCTTGGATCTGTCAAAACCTAATGTCCTCACTTCCTCAATTGATGTCTAGGCAATGTTCAAGCAACACGACTCTGAGAAACAATCTCTGGTTTTTGGTTTTTGTGAGGATGAAACAATCACGACTTGTTAATAGAGTGAGGTTAAGAGATTGAGTCGTTAGTCCCGGACAAAGCCAGCCTACAGAGGTGTTGATTTTCAATATAACTCTTAAAATAAAAGCAAACATATTATATGTCAAAACTATTCTTTAATCAGCTGTTTTTCTCAAACAGTTTTTCCCAACTTTGAAAGCACCAGCAAATGATTGGCAGCTTTGTTATATGTATGTGTGAATATATTCTAATTCTAATGTGCTCTGTTTTTTTTTTGTTTTTTTTAGACAATTATTTTCTTCCTGGGGGAATTCAGGCTTTCTCATCTTACCCTGGTTCTATCTTCTCTGGAGATGACTTTTATATCCTCAGTAGCGGCTTGGTGAGAACTCTTTCTGCATGGCAAATGTTATGCATGTAAAATAATACATTTCAGTATTTGAATATGTTGTTATGTTATTCGTCTGACTTTTTTTGTTCCTGTGTCTGCAGGTTACATTGGAAACTACTATCGGCAACAGCAACCCTGCCCTCTGGAAGTTTGTGCAGCCTACAGGATCCGTCATGGAATGGCTGAGGAACATTGTGGCCAATCGACTGGCTGTTACTGGCAAGGAATGGGCCGAGATATTCACCAAGTACAACAGTGGAACGTGAGTATCACAAATTAGAAGGAATGCTGCTCACATAACTCTTTAACCAGCACTATCACCACTTTGTTCAGATGTGATCCTCTCCTCTGTTATTTGTCTTGAGTTCAAAATTCCTACTGATGACAAGATTAGATGAAGTGTTATGTAGCCAGTTATAATCAGGAGGTCAGTGGTGTCATACATCTATAATGGGGTCATCATGCTGTATGTTTGAGGTCAACTGCTGAGTCAGATAATTCAACTTCAGTGGCATTGGATGTACAGTAAATAAATTAATGAAAGTCACTTTGGACAAACGTGTTTGTATGTTTATTTTCTAGGTATAACAATCAGTGGATGATTGTAGACTATAAGTACTTTACTCCAGGGAAGACTGATATCAAAGAGGACCTCTTTGTTGTGTTGGAGCAGATACCGTAAGTCTCTGTGTTCAACCTTTAATGAAACGCACTGTATTTCTGCAAACGTCTAGTAACCCTGTGACAACTCGTTCACTTCGAATAAGCTTTTCTCTTTTTGTAATGCTGCAGGGGACTTGTTGTTTACGCTGATAAAACTCAGGAACTGCTGAAGAATGGATATTGGGCCAGTTACAACATACCGTAAGTATCCAGTTAAAAAAATGTGTTTTATATAAATGTGGTCGCGTGTTTTCAGATTGTAATTTTTCTTTTGTTAATTCAACCCTCTTTGTAGATACTACGAGAGCATATTTAATGCCAGCGGCTGCAATGAGCTTGTGGAGAAGTTCGGCCCCTGGTTCTCTCTGGACCAGAATCCTCGGGCTCAGATATTCAGGAGAAACCAGACAGATGTTACGGATGTGGACTCAATGGTTCGCCTCATGAGGTAAGGTCTGTGTGGTACACAGGTTTGAGGCGAGCATTTCAGTCATTTTCTGGACTGATCCGCTTAATACGATGAAACTTTAACAGTAGTTGTTCATATTTTCGTAGGAATTTTACTTATGAGATGCTGTGTCCCTCACCAGGTATAACAACTTCAAGGAAGACCCGTTATCTAAGTGTGATGGCTGTGATCCTCCTGCCAATGGAGAGAATGCGATCTCAGCTCGTTCGGACCTGAACCCAGCTAATGGAACTTATCCCTTTGGTGCCCTAAAGCAAAGATCACATGGTGGAACAGACATGAAGGTTTTTATTTTTTATTTTTTTAATCTTATGCTTTCTACTATTATGAAAACTGAATCTTTTGTACACTTTTGGCTTGAATTAAAGTGACTGGCATGTTAGTTAGCTCTTTGCTAAATCAGCTGTATTGTGTGTGTGCGCATGTGTTTGCTCCTCTGCAGTTGACCTCCTACGAGATGTTCCGAGACTATGGCATGGTGGCAGTGAACGGGCCAACCTGGGACCAGGTGCCACCCTTCCAGTGGAGCACTTCCCCTTACAAAGACTTGATGCACATGGGTCACCCTGATACTTGGGCATTCAAACCTATAAAAGTTAGCTGGACTTCCTAACTGTTATTGCACTATGTGTACAAGTAGCATGAACAAAACTGTCAGCTGTGCTGTTTTAAGATTTGACAAAGGGAAATGACACTTAAATTTAGTTTGACATGAGTTTTCTGTCTAATTTCAGCATTGAACTCTTTGCAACAGAGAACCAGAATTCTCACAATCTTACTAAAATGGGAGCTTCCACGTGTTGAGATCAGATTTACATTTTTTGTTGTTGATTTCTTATGTAAAATGTGTGAAAACTGCCTATCTGATAGTTTAGTAATTTATGGAAACACAACTTACTTTGGAGAATCAGTACTGATATTGATGCAGATGCAGACTTTCTTTCACTGTTACCGCAATTGAGTTAGATAATTTTGAGTAATTCTGTTGTTATGCATTGTTTTAATGATCTATTTTGAAAAAATATTTTCTCAATAAAGTGCCCTGATCATTGTCCTTTTTTTAATATACATTTATGTCCTTGCTTGGTCTGTGTAATGCGTGTAAGTTTGATTTTACACATTCAGTAATAGAACATTTGAAAAGAATGTGTAAGTCATATTTTTAAATTGTTCACAACTTACCCACCTTCATCTGCTTCCTAACAAATATGTATTTGATTCTCTATATACAGTGCATGGTTCATAAGTAGTTGATGGACGTTTCAATGTACCTTTTATAGGGGGATGTCGGATAATCTCGAGTTACCGTAGTGTAGTTTGTAGTGTATTGGCAAATAAATACAGCAGCTTCTCCCGGCAACGTGAAGTGTCCTCCAATATTTCTTAAACTGATGAAAAGGAGCAAGAACAGGCTTTAGCCAAGGAGGAAAACGGACATCTCCCCTGTGCTTCTCATCCAAGGTCTGGAGGTCAAGCAGGAAAGGTTAACACTAGTTATCTGGGGGCCTTTATTTTGAAAATCCAGCCTCTATTAGTGAGAAGGACTCAGTGTGTTTCTCTTTAGCAACAGTAAAAAGTTGAATAAAACTCTTTCCCTAACTGGTCTTTGCACTGCGCTGGTCTGTGCACCACTGGTCTCATATAATAATGGGGTGTGTTGGTGCATGGAAGGTGTGTGAGTGTGTGGAAGCTTTCCTTCATGTGTGGTGAAACAACAACAAACTGCAGGAGGTGAACAATGAAACACCCACAGTCCTCTCAGAGGAGGGGTTTATGGGCGGGTCTTATGGTCTGCCGCCAGCCAATCAATGCCATGGAGAAGGGCTCATCTGTATATTTTCCCATCAGCCCTGTGAGCTTACGAACAACGAGGAGGTTAATAAGTAAATATGTTTGATAAAGCGGCTCCCAAAGAGAGTGAGGGTCCAGGTGTGAGTCTGCTTCTGTCTGAACTCCTCATGACGACCCAGATCCACAACACCGTGACACAGGAATGTACCTGAACCAATGGAGGTTATATTCTGTTTATATTCTTATTTTATTAGAAACAAGAAATAGGACCCAGAGGACATTAAACGTCTCAGACTGTCTCTGACAGTGAACCCATGAAGAAGAAGCGATGATCTGGACCCTGTCTTCCGGGAGATGATGTAAACAAAAGGCCGAATTGTAATGCTCCTGAGGGGGCGTGGTGACAAAGACTGACCGAAGCGTTTATCTGATCCCAGTACAGCTGATAAACTTTGTTAGCTGGGCTCTTTTCCTTTGCTGAAGAAAGCAAAGTGTTGAAAGCTCCAGGCAGGAGACTCTTCTTCTTCAGTCTCAGTTCCACAGCTTTTGAGTGATGAAGCTCAGAAGTCACTGTAATACCTGGTTTCTCCTGCAGGTGTCTCTGCTCCTGGAGGCAGCGACGCCGCTCTGGTTTCACTTGATTTTGTAAAAAGAAAGATTCAACTTGAAATTTATTTAGAAACATGATTCAACAAGTGCTAGTGTTAGCCTGCGAGCTAATTTCCCACCCTCATACGCAAACTCGTGAAGCGTTCCTAATTTTATGAAATATGAATATTTCAGTAGTACCCTGATACTCCAGCAGATGGCGCCCTTGTCACACAGGAGAGGGGAACTGCAGGTGTCGGGCTCCCTCTTGTGGTGGACCAGCAACCGAACTGTCCCGGAGCGGACGCTGGGGGGCGCAATGCCACAAGAGAAGACGCTGCAGACCACAAACAGTGAAGAATAAAATTATGAGTCAAAAAATAAGAAGTTTGCAATAATTAACAAATAAATCGTAAAGACGTAAAGTCATTATTATCACAATTACACCCATGATGTTATCATTATGAAATGGTTTCAAAATTAACACAATAACATCATTTATCACAATAATGTCTGGGACAACACATCGTGCCAGGCCTACCTTAATATTTGTATTCATGCATGTAGATAGAGGTTTCCTTGTACAGTTTACAGCTTTAATTTCTGAGAATGTCTTTCATATCCAAGCTAAATTGGTATTGTAGACAGACACATCCCTGACTGAATGGATATGGAATCAAATCAAATGGAATCAAGACCTAGTTAATCTGAATGGAATCAGTTTGGGAAATCAGTGTTGATACGCAGCCCTGGTATGAAAGATGCTGTTTCCCTGTGTTCACTCTGCATGCAGAGCATTTGCACACTAATCAATGGAAACCTATTTGTATTCTTATCAATATTCTTCTTCTTATTCAAGCTGGTTTTTGTTAAAGATTATTGTTTTATTTGTTGAAGTGATGATTTAAATAGATACATGGTTAGATGGTGCTGCACTTAAAGTTGTCACACGTTGTTCATGAATGTATAATGTTTATATTTAATCTGTTTATTTTAGTCTTCAATACAAATATGTGTTACATCCGGGTTACACACGTCACTGTCGTAAAGCGACAGCGCTGTCGTGCAGCGTCTGTACAGCTGGAGCTGAACTTTAAACCGTGGACGTGAAGGAGAAGTGTTGATCTTGTTAATGGAGAAGTCCAGTTAACACGACGCTGGTCACAATGTTTTAACAGAAGCAGCGAACAGGAGAAGACTCGCTCACACTGAAGGTATGAAGTTGTCTTTAGCTCGTTAGCTAACAATGAACCGACATGTGAGGGCTGCCTCCTCTGATCTCTGCACCAAACGTGTCTTCTGCCGCACAGCTGGAAACTCTGTGTGGAATATTGTTATTCTGTAAAAGCAGGAAAAAGCGGTGTCTTGTTGGAGATAATCCTGTATGATAACTAATAAAACAGACTCATAGAACTAATCCGCTTGCTTTATCAAATGTCCGGAAGTGGGATGAGAAGCTGTCAGATCTCTGCTAAGTGAAGTAACTCTTACATTTGCAGGCTGTGTGCAGTCCGATGATGGGTTCCTGGCATCCAGTGGCTAACCTCAGAGACTATGCATCCCATAATCCTCCAATGGTGACATTCTTTCTGTGTATGTTGAGTCTGGTGATCTCCTTCATCTGCCTGGGCTCTTACAGCTACTCTCACACTCTGCCCAACCCCGACACAGCCAAGGTGAGGACTGTTTATATTGTTGTTGTTTTATTGACACGTGTATGATGGTAGCTCCAGCACACACACAAACGTCTGCACACACACTCAGTTTCATCGATTCATTGAAGAAATAATGGTTTTAAAAAAAATGGCAGATTTAAAAAAAGAATCGATAGGGGCACTTACTTAAACTGATTAATCAATAAATGAGTAATTAATAGAAATTTAGCCGTTCGTTTAGATTAGTAGTGTACCGTTTCTCCATGTTGTTGAGGAATCTTTGACCATCCTCACACATTCCATCCGTACACTATTATGAGAATAGAGCCTGTCTCATTCCACACATATTCCCTTCTCTCTCCCAGCAATACCCAAGGTCAGGTTATAGATAAAGGGCCAACTAGCAGTAAACAGTAGTGTCTACTCTTTCATAGCTTATTCAGAAGCCCCAGACAGAGAGGAACCAACTCCTACTCTTTTGCGTATTACACCAGTGGCTAGACGTAAGGACACAATGTGATTTAGAAATGCATACTCAAGGTCTAACTGTCCAATAGGATGTGAACACCAAATTGAGAGTGACAGCAATTCTAGCCTTTCGTGGATGTGCTGTTAGAATGGGTGACACAGGCTGAAGAAGATATATGGGGAGGCTGTGTGAGACATCTTCAGACTTGGGGTGACAATTGCTCATGTTACTCTGATAGTGTTTGTATATTGTCCATCTTCTGGTCTCCTTGATGCATCAAGTCTACATTAAACTCTTCTGCATTAGATCATCAGCTGCTGCCTGAGCTCTCCTTTCACCAGCTTCCAGTAAACTTCCATCACACATGTGAATAAACAAAACCAGTGCATTCAACGATTTTATGAAGCATGGTGGAGTTGGTGTCCTCCAGTCCTTAAGAGTCATTAATTGCTAGTACCGTGCCAAATATTACAGCTGTTTGAAACTGTGAAGAAAGCAACAAGGATTCATCTGAGCATTGTATGAGAGCCAAGTCCCTGTCAGGACAGAGGGTGTTCTGGTAAAACCCAGACTGGATTAAATAGTAGACAATTCACAAATAAATGCAGCAAAATAATTCACAATTATTAAAGATTGTACCATGCAATGTGTAGGTGATGATTACTGTTGTGCAAAACAAGCATGTTGTTACACAGGCTGTGACTGAATTATGCATTTGTTTTTGTGTCTTGAGCTGATGTTGAACAAATCTTGTGCTTTATTCCTCTTTTAGGACTGGAACCAACTTCTGTCCTCCTTATCACAGCTCCAGCTGTGTACGAAAGCCATTGCCGATTCATCTGCACTTGTCTCACCAGCTCCCTCTCATCTGATGGAAGAAAAAAAGGATAAAGAGACAATGGTTGACCCTACAAAACTGTCTTCTTCAGTCACACATTTGCATCTCGAGGTTCCTGTGGCTGTGACTGCCAGCAGAGCTCGTGGCTCTGGAAAATACTTTAGTCTATACACTTCCTTGAGAGCCAGTCAACTACATCTCGGTGGTTGGTATTAATTTAGCTAAGTGAAAGTAAATTAAGTCTATAAAAGTAAACAATCTCACCATAAGCATTTGTTTTACTCCCCAGGCAATGAGATTGTCAATATGACTCTAGAGTTTCTGACGGGAAATAGAACCCACACCTGCCTCAACATTAGTGCCCCATCACACCTCCTGCCCCTGAGCCCGTAAGTTCATTCACGTTCAAGCTCCCTTAACTACTTAGTTGCCTGAGTCTGTCTCTCCGTCAACTCATGACTGTTTTCTTTGTGCGTTCACATGCATGTACTGGACACTTTCATGAAGACGTCCTATGAAGTGTCCTGCATTTCAGAAAAATATTTCACCCGTCCATGTGGAAGTGAGCAACCAGCTGCCCACAGCATCACAAACCTGCTACAGTTTACGCAGCAAGAATGACCCTACACTCACAGTCATGTTAACACAGGTACTGTTTGACACATATGAACAACACATGCTCAGCCATAATACAGATGCCCTTTTGTCATTTTGTCGATCTACTTTCACTGTTTAGGAGGAGCGGACTGTTGCCGTGCATCATCTGTTGGAAGTCAGTGTTTTCCTGCTCGGAGTTTGCATTGTACTCTGTTTAGCTGCGAGTGTGACACGTTCGCTCATACCCTGCTGCCACTGGAATGGGCTGGATCTAAAAAATGTAGGTAAATTCTTACATTACTGTCAAACTAGCAGTTTTGACTGCTTTGGTTTTGGAATCTAAACATGTATTTTTGTGTAAAACATTGTAGCATGTTGATAAATGTGAACTGTAATTGTAAAACCTAACTTCACTCTTTACTTTATTTGCAGGAACCATTGATTGACTCCTGATCTCTTCTCACCCTCTGCGTCTTGCAGAGATCAGCTGGTTGCTGCTTTTGAAGGGACCGACTTCATGAATGTTTAAGACTTAAGTGGCGCATCCCTCTAATAACGTAGTGACTGGTCATAGAACCACTCCCCAGTCTGTTTGTTATGTACACTACATTCTAGGGATAATTTACTTTCAAAACCTTTCTACTTCAATTATTTCCAAGATTTATTCTTAGTACCTTGTGAAAAATATCTGATTGCCTTCAACTGTGTCAGGTTTTAATATACCAATTCTTCTTCCAATTAAACATCTAAAATTAACATTATTTTACCACTGAAGAGTAATAGTATATTATACCATGTTCCTATCAGCAGTTGTACTAGGAATGTTTTTTTTAACTTTTATTCACATGTCTGACATTGATCACAGAAGTCAAATCTACAGATCCACAGTGTGAGTATTGTTGCATTCTCACAGATACAGTGCAATGAATTATGACTTGAATAGCTGGGGAAATTTTAAGATGTGAATTTTGAAGAAACATTGAAGGGTTTATAACTCTTGTTTGTTTTCTGAATTTCAACATATGGTGTTAAAGGGATAAAACGTAAAATGACTATGTTCTGTTAATTTCCTATGAAATATATTTGTCAAATAAAGTGTTTACAGCTCAAAAGGCAAAGTGTCGTATGTGCATGGAAATCATCAGTGTTATAAACTGACTTGTAAACAGTAAATAACTGATTCTTTCCAAGTTTGTGAATCAATCAATCTCACATGGAAGGATCTTTGGGAGATGGAAGGAAGCCGACTCAGCTTCATCATCAGAGCCACCTATGATGTTCTTCCATCACCCAAGAACCTAAACCAGTGGCTAGGAGAAGAACCATCATGTGCTCTCTGCCAAACCCCTGCAACACTCAGGCACATCCTCACCAACTGTAAAACCAGTTTGTCCCAAGGCCGCTACACCTGGAGACACAACCAGGTCCTATGACAATTGGCGATCACCCTGGAAGGAAGGAGGACTACCAACAATGCGTTTCCTCCCCTGACTTCCAGACATCCGAACACCACCCCTTTCATAAGAGCAGGACAACTCCCAGTAACAACATCTGCTAGAGTGGAAGCGACCCTCCTGGACACTGCCCGGGACTGGAAAATACAGGTGGATCTAGACCAGAAGCTTGTCTTTCCGCCGGAGATCATTATAACTAATCTCAGGCCGGACCTGGTCTTGTGGTCAACCATGCAGAAATCGCTCTTCATTGTGGAAGTGACTGTACCATGGGAGGCTGCAGTCAGTGAAGCATATGAACGCAAACGCCTGAAGTACTCTTACATAGCAGCAGAGGCAGAACAACGTGGCTGGCGTGCCCAGGTGCTTCCTGTCGAAGTCGGGTGCAGAGGCTTTGTTGCCACTTCCACAACCAAGCTTCTGAAGAGGGTGGGAGTGCGAGGACAGGCCTTCCGACAAACCGTCAAATTGCTTTCAGAGACTGCCGAGCGAGGCAGCAGCTGCCTGTGGATCAAGAGAAAGGACCCCAACTGGGCTGCAAAGTGGCCGCCAAGTGTAAAAGCAGAGGGGGGCACACCTGGGATGCCCGGTGTTGCCGTTGAGCCCTGTGGAGGTGTCGTGGGCCTATCAACGAAACACTAAGCAGGGTGCACACCTGAAGACCCCAGTGAAGCAATTACCATTACCCCTACCCCACCCAGCACCAGGTGGGGTAGGGGCCAACACCCAGTGACAGTGAACTTTCCATCAGTGACTTCCTCAATTTATAGAGCCGAGGAGTTGCGGTCACAATGGGAGGGAATTATTTCTGAAAATGAATTATCATAGTTTACACAACTGTTTGTCTGAGTTTTCAAATAACTGAATAATTAGGTATTTGAATGTTCTCTCCCTGCTTTCCTGACAGGCAATGCTAGATGATCATTTCTATGTGGAATATAAATGAACTTGCAGAAAACATTTTTAGTTTTATGCATAGAATCAAACAAAGGGATGACTCACCTCTAAAATTGAAAAAGGAAGTGAAAGTAAGCAACAACAAAGGTTATGGTGCTGATCATAAAAAGTGAAACAGACCTGTTCTGTTATTATCAGTTGACAATGAAAACAAACGTCTCTGTACTACAATATGATTTCTACATGTGAATATACAAGTGAGTCATTTTACCCTCAAATGCTGATAATTCAGCTCAGTGAACACGTTTAAAGCTTTGTTCAACATTGGATTGCTTCCAAACACATGAACACAAATATAAACTTCCAGCTTTAAGACAAAGGAAATACACCGTGAAGAAAACACACGTTGATAACAAATAATAAATTGTCCATATAAAACATAAACAGTGAGCTCTATGCATGATGCGCCGCTCTGACATCCGCCTACGTCACAGAGCCCCTCCTCCAATCAGCGGTGAGAATGTCTGCACCGTGCCTCTCTATTGACGGAGTGATGGAGCCCAGGGGCGGGACCTGAGCGGAGGACTGGGAGCTGGACTGTTCGCGGCCTGGCGGACTGTTCCTCTTCAGGGAGAAGGAAATATTACGCCGCGAGATATCTATTCCTCCTTGGACGCGTCGTTACGACACCAGTGGCGGGGAGCCACCACAAAGTCGCCGTCTCATGAAAACGGTCTGCAAAGCTGGTGGAACTGATTTGATGCGGCTAACATCAGCTCCATGTTTAACTGTGTGACGCTAGCTAGCTGCCATTACCGCAGATACATTCTGCAGAAGGTGCTAACGTCCGTTAGCTACATTAGCCTAATATTAAGTGTTTATAACAGCCGCTGCATTACGTCTGAGGCGTTTATACACTGTCTCTTCACTTACACGTCCGGCTCTTATTTACAGACACTTAACTTAGACCAGTGGCTGTTCTGTGCATAACTACATTAGCGCTAATGTCTTCAGAGCTAACACGGCGCCTACAGCCGTTCTCTGCTCAGAGCTAAACAATTTTGTTGTTGGCATACAGGCCTCCCACGTGGTACCGCTCATACGGGGTGGGGGCTTTTATTAACTCGATGCTGTGAACTTGTCCCCTTTGACTCTTTCCGTGGCGTCCAGACAGGCTGGCATCATGTCCGTGGTGATGTTTAATGGAGACTGTAGGTGAATCTGCACGGGCTGTGATAGTTTACATTACTGTATTTGCGTTTACAGTATGAACACACTTGACTAGAGCTCGGTTCTCGAGGAAGAAAACAAACCGGAGTCAAGGAAAGAAGCAGGACCTTTCTGTGAGTGGCCATGGCCTTCTCCAACTACAGCAACCTGAGCAGAGCTCAGCTCACCTTCGAGTACCTGCACACGAACTCGTGAGTACAGACTTCCTGGAAATTCATTCGTGCACACAATCATGTAGTAATTTATAGACCACAACTCAGCTCAAAGGTTTGAACACACAGTTAACACATGGCATACAATGAACATCCCTCTCAACAATCCTAAAACAACCTAACCTTTGTATCTGTTTGGAGGAGAATGTGCCCCAAAAGTTTGAGGCAGTTTAAATGTACGGTAATGATTTCCATTTAGAAGACGTTTCTGTAGTCTAAATCTAACATTATGTGATATTATGTGAATTATGTGAATGTGATATTCTTAATATATATTAGCTAATATTTACTTAACTTTGTGAATACGAATTACACATGGAATTGGAAATATACACATTATAATACATCTGCTGCTCTTTTATGTAGTAAGTGTGTAGAAATGTAGTAAGTTCTTGTCAGTATACATTTAGTTTTGCGTTATGGATTTCAATTCTCAAGCATATGCATTATTGGTAGTTGGATTTTCAAACACGATTGGTTCCTGTAAGTAGTTATCAGCGTCAGTTTGAAACTTGACCTAAAGTGAGCAGCAGTCACGGCTGGTCAGAGCAAACTACATGTGAATGTCAAACCTTACAGAAAACACATAGTGCTTTGGATCATATTATTCACTGTATGGATTTTAATGGTAGTTGAAATGCCTGTACACTGCAGAGGTAAAGATGTAACCTAAGCCTCTCATGTCATGTCCTATACAACAAATAAACGTAAATCTTTTATCAGCCCCACTGAACCTCCTGCCTATACCTGAACTGGCTGTAGTGCACCTGTCAACACATTCAGAAACAGTTTCAACGTGCTAATTTGCTCACTGTCAATTATCCCGACATTTCCAGCTGTATTATCACATGGATATTTTTAGGACTCTGGACATTACTAGGGGCCTGTCAGGAAAAGGTTCAGCAAAATATCCAAATTAACTGACTTGGACATTTGCATTCTCACATAAACCCCCTGAAATTGTTGTATGAATGCAGCTTTAATAAGACAGTGCCAGTCTTTGTTCTGTTGTAACAAGGTGTCTGTATGTAGTTATAAAGAAGAGGACTTCAGTGTCATATCTGCTAGGAAAATGTTAGATAGTAATTTTCAGTTAATCCTCTGTCCCATTTACATTGACATGTGTCTCTTAATACACTGTAGGAAATGTAGGCTGTATAATAAGATAATAAACCCTCTGAAAATATCTATGTAGGGTCCAGAACCTGTTAAGTATCTTGTATACATCCGTTTTCTGGGTCCAGCTTGCCCCAGTCACTGAAGTTAACTCTTTTCTTTGGATAATCCAATATATTAATTGTCTGTGAACAAACTAATTTCCTGCAATTATTGACATTTGTTGTCTGTTTCAGGACAACCCATGAGTTCTTATTTGGAGCCTTGGCGGAGCTTGTCGACAATTCAAGGTACCGTTAAATGATTTGTAAAAGAGCCTGCAATTGTTGAAACACTTTGCAGCTTGATATCTTCTTTGTTGTACATCTCACACTTGGTTTGCTTCTTTCAGAGATGCTAATGCCACACGCATAGACATCTACACAGGTACACCTCAGAATATTCACCTAGTTTCACACACTGAAGCATACGTATACCTAATATTTGTCTAATATTTGCCTGTCACCTGCTCACTTTTCTGACAGAAAAAAGGCCAGAGCTGCGGGGTGGCTACCTGCTCTGTTTTCTGGATGATGGTATTGGAATGGACCCCAGTAAGTGTGACTTTATTATCAAAGAAGCTAGTTTTAAGTTAATGTGTGCATATGCTTGGTGGAGGCTCATTGTGAGGTTTTTTGATTATTTATGTGTTATGTATGTGAAATATATTTTATTAGATGAGGCAACCCATGTGATTCAGTTTGGGAAGTCAAGCAAACGGTCACCTGTGTCCACTCAGATCGGACAGTATGGAAATGGACTGAAATCGTAAGACCTTCTCCAAATTTTTGTGTGATGAAGAGGTTCATTTGGTACAGTGGTGTTTGGATAATTTCACATGTTTTGTGTTGTTTTCACAGTGGCTCCATGCGAATCGGCAAAGACTTCATTTTGTTCACGAAAAAAGGCAACACGCTGACTTGCCTTTTCCTGTCGAGGACTTTCCATGAAGAAGAGGGACTGGATGAGGTCAGAGTCAACTGTCAGTTAAGGCTATTGATTCCTAAATGTAATTTTTATTTGGGATGAGTGCCGTCAAAAGATTACTTTATTAATATTTGAGCATTTGCCTCTTTGATAGATTATGTTATAGTCTCCAGAACATGTGGATAGAATAGTCTTATTATCGAAATGCAGTGGGTTTGTCAAGTACTTAATATTTAG